TATGTAATATTGACATAAGCTCAGACCACTTCTTTTTTTGAAGTTGAGACTATTTGTATATTTATTGGAGATGTACCTGTGGAACCTGGTTTTATACTGTCACAGCTGTACAATGCTGTGAAGTCTTCAGATGCTTGCAATACAATCGATCAAATGCTTTTATTAATTCATTTTATTCTGTGCTGCTCATGGTCCAAAGTTTGCTGTGTTTGTTGTTAGTAAAAGAGTTTGATTGTGCTATGCTGCTGTGTTGCTCCAAAGCCATTTTTCTTGTATTTCTAATACCATTGAATGAATGTCATTTAGTAAAATCCGCCCTCTCGCTTTCTTTTTCCCCGTATAGTAGCCCCCGCAGCTCCCTCCCCCACACCTGTGGCTACCACAGCTATCACTAGTGAGGTGAGTATATCCTTTGTTCAGTGATTTGCGATAAGCTTCAAACGGATGAATTAAACAAATCAAGAACTGACTGGATTATATTTGACCCCACCAAAAGCACTGGTTTACTATGGGGCAATTCCACTGTGACAGAGTGACACTGAGACTCAGATTTCCACTGAACATTTTACAAAAATACATTAACTTGAAGAACAGTTTAGATGCAAAGTTTGGTAACAGAATGACGGTTTGTGCTGTTTGTGCCGTCATCCTGTTACTAAACATTGCATCTGCACTGTTCTTCAAGTAAATGTGTTTTGTAAAATGTTCAGTGGAAATTGTTAAAAGTAGTCCATTTGCATATAGTTGTATGCTCTTTTTTAAAACTTTGCAATCATTGGTTTTCATTTGACATACATTTTAAAGTAAAAAATCAGAATCTCAGTGTTACTCTCTTTTATCGTGGAATTGCCCTATGCCAGTCATGCAAAAAATATGCACACTGAAAATAATTGTATAGATTTGCCTGCAACATTTTATAACTGAATCACATGGCACTTGGAAAAACTATTTTAGTCTTCACATTTATCCAGAGGTATCCGAGAGTAATCAGATATTTAGCATTTTGCTTCTAACAGCGACCTCTAACAACCACCACCCCCACCACACAGGGGCGGACTGGGACCAGAAATCAGCCCTGGCCATTTTTTCCCTTGATGCCCCCACACTGGCCCGTTTTATTCCCATGAGGCCCTGACGCCGGCCCATTTTTTCCTTGAGGCCCCCATTAGCCAAATTAGCAAATTCCCCTCCCCAAGCTAGACAGGCCTCCTGGGCTAAAAAGGGACATGCCCATCTGGCATTTGCCATAAATGCCAGATGGCTAGTCCACCCTGCTACCACACCTCCAGCCATAACACTCAGCCCAGGTGAACAAGAAGGGTATTCCCTATTCTGTCATTCATTTTTCTGTTACTCTTTTTCCTCCTCACGTTCTAAAATCACACATATAATATGCCAGTATGATATATCAGTAGCCCTGCCCTGCGCTATGTATTTCTGCTCAGTGCAATAACCTCATTGTGTATTGTCGACAGGAGCTCTGAATGTTCTGTTTAGTATTTAGAGCAGTGGTGACTGTGCTGTGGCTCCCTCTAGGGTTCATAGACCTCCCTGCCTCTGTGTCTGTGTCGGAAAAGTACCCCTCCCAGGAGTGTGGTGGTGGAGTTTCAGGTGCAGAGCTCCAGTCTTCTCCCCACAGTCAACATCCTCTCTGTCACCCCAGAGTTAGCAGTGTTTGAGACGCCCATCGTCAAACCTACAAACATCTCTGGTATCTTCAATGTCCAGGTCGGAACAGACAATTTAGTCAAATATCAGTTCTCATATCTCTTCAACCTTAACTCTAACCCTAGCTTCTTGTCCACACCCCTGCTTAACCCTAACCCCTGTTTTGTACATGAACAAATTAGACATGAGGGAAGATAAATATTTTGTGACTAATATTGTGTACATGTGTAGATAGTGTTGAAGGGTTCTCTGGACTATGAGAAGGCCAGCAGGGTGAGTGTTCGTCTGGGCCTGGTCACTCCATCAGGCCATGTAGAGCAGACCTTCCATATCAGTGGTGGATGAGAACACAACACAATGTGAACCTCTTTTCCAGCTGCCTGGTAACACACCCTCACCTCGATCACTACACATACATTATACACGGTGTTTACATGGCTATTACATGTTTATTACAATGTTATTACTATGGTATAAGGTCAATGTATTGTTAAGAGGGACGTTGTAATGTATTGATGGTCTGATGAGTGTTTGTGTATAGGAGCTGAGGTTCATGTCCCAGAGAACCTCCCTGTTCCTTAGACTCGCTACACTGTCCTGGCCTCCGCCCCAGACCGCAATGACACACTCTCTGTAATATACACACAACCTCCTCATTACTTTATGACCTCAACTGTATTACTGTACCAATACATAGTCCTATGATATTGCCCTTGAGCAAGGCAGTTAATCCCCAAAACAACTGCTCCCCAGGCGCCGATTACGTGGACGTTGATTAAGGCAGCCATCCGCACCTCTCTGATTCAGAGGGGTTGGATTAAATGTGGACGACACATTTTTGTTGAATGCATTCAGCTGTGTAACTGACTAGGTATCCCCTTTCCCTTCCCTTTAGTACAGGTTTAGGCAGTGAGTGTTGATACCTTTTCTGGTTTGTGTGTTTGTGCTGCAGTTTTCTATCAGTCAAGTCCTAACCAACTCCAAAGAACAGCTCCACAGGGCCTGTGTGGTAGTTAAAGGGTTTGCTAGAGATGATGCTGCCATCTCCAGTGATGTGGAGCTGTTCTTTGGAGTTGGTTAGGACTTGACTGATAGAAAACTGCAGCGAGGGAGTGATATGGTTAATCTTTACGTATAATGGCAGGTTTTAAAAGTTTGTTTTATCAAAATTATTTCCTCCTCGTGTGATGTTGTAAAACAGGAGTTGATGCTGTATGTGATTGACAGTCATTTAGCAGTAGCTCTTATTCAGAGCGACTTAAAGGAGCAATTAGGGTTAAGTCCCTTGCTCAAGGACACATATTTACACCTAGTCGGCTCGGGATTGGAACCAGCAACCTTTTGATTACTGGCCCAACACTCTAACCGCTAGGCTACCTGCCGCCCAGACGATTTTGAGTTTATCAGATTTAGAAGTTAAAAGTGTGGTTAACCCAAATCTCTTCTCAGTCTTGTTTCCCAGAATGTGTCCATCTTTGAAAACCAAGGACCTGAGGATATTGTAGCCACTGTCAGCGCTAACCTCACCATCCCTGATGTACTCAACACTTTTGTGAAAGATCTACCTTTCAAGATTAGGATTGTCTAATTTTTATCTCTCCGATATCATGTAATGAAAATCAATGTTTTATAATATCCTCGATGCTTTGAAATACAGAAAGAGCTGAATCCTAAATTACGTTCTCCACGTTTAACTGACATTTTCATTTAAATCTGTCTCTCTCTTCCTGTCTCTTGTCCTATCAGAGAATGGTACTGTATTTAACCTATGGTATTATACTGTATGGAAACATGTCTGAAAGGATGTAGTCGGTTATACTGTACTAGATAAATGTACAAGGGTGCATTATCTCTTTGCCCATTCTTCACCTCCACTTGTGGTTGGTATGGTCCACATCCTGGTCATAGTCCTCAGCCTGAACCCCCACTACATACACCTGCTGCTGCTGCTCAAAGTCCAGCTCTCTGCCCAGATACAGCTCCCCTGGAGATAGAGAATAGGTCACTCTACAGGTTGGTACATGCAACATATGGATGGATGTTAACTGTTGGACTGTGTCTATGGTACCTAAGAATCTAAGGTGATGGTCCATGTGTGCTCAGCTGTAGCCTCACCTCCATCAGGGTCCATAGTGAACATGGCATCTCCTGAAGTGATGGAGTAGTGGATATTGTCAAAGGGCCAGTCTGTGTCTCCGGCCACCACTGTCCCCACTGCCGTACCTGGCCTGGTGCCCTCTGGGACACTGAAACCCACAGTCAGAAACCCTGGGTCAAACTCATTGACTGGGGTCACAGTCCTGGGCTGGATACAGATGAAAGGACTGGTTTACACCACTGCCGTCATATAACCTTGATGTAACCTTCCACATAGATGATGGAATACTGTGTACATGACACACACAGGGAACATGTGAGAGGATGGGTGCCTGTGTCTGTAGCCAAGATGGTGGCCTCATACTGGAAGTTATTGGCGGATATCTCTGCAGAGTCGTAGTCTAGAGTGTTGTTCACCTGGCAGGAAGATTCACTTGATTTATCAAGACACAACGTATTTTAAAAACACAACAATACACACTAATGGTAATAGTACATCAAATGTTATGCATTGTGTCATTATCAGGTTTACCTGGAGCTGTCCACTGATTCAAAGCAGTTCTAAAGTAATTCAGCTAAGACCATAGGTCCCAATTATCTCCAACCTTTGTCCAATAATACAGATCATCCTTGATAATTAGGTTGTAGGCCATACAGACTCTGGGTGGTCATTCATCTATAGTGAAGGAGATCAGACTGTATGACGCTTGTCTTGTCATAATGACTACCATTACTCTAACACTATAGACCCCTGTGTCCTCTCTACACTACCTCCCCCCAAGTCAGGCTTTTAGGCCATGCAGTTTCTCCAGACCATGTAACCTAATCAGGAAAAAACGATGGACCCAAGTTGTAGGAGTTATAGTCATGGTCACATAATGTGGTCATGAAAAACTCCTGGCCATAGACCTGACCTAATGTAATCTATCAAAAATATACATAAGGAACATAAGGGTTATTTTGCTTAGTCTAGTGCCCAGTGATCCAGTGGAGTCCTGTTACTTACACAAATACTGAGGGGGAGCAGAAAGGTGGGAACTCATTGACGTCCAGTACGTTCCACTGCCATGCTGTAGGCGCTGACCAATAGAACACTGTGGGCCAGGGCGAGTTCCGCCTCCAGATCTAGGTAATAGGCTGTTCTGATGATACTGTAGTTTTGGATGTAAACTGTGAAATCTACTGTGTATTCATCTTCTCCGCTCCTATCTTGCCAGAATGTGAATGATAACGCTATGGTGTGTGACCCAATCTCCTATGAGCCCACCATCTTCACCACCCTGTCTACACTGCTCCCCATCCTCTCATTCAGCTGCACTGACACAGACAACATCACAAAAGGTACACAGTGTGTGTATGTAACTGCAGAGGCGTCATGTCCATATGTGGCACAGGGGCACGTGCCCCCTCAGATTTGTCCTAAAAATAATAATTATATACATATACTGTATATTTTTTAGTTTGTTTGTTTTTTCTCTCTCTGTAATGCTTCTAGCCACTTAGCAATTTTATGAAGTTGGCTTTAGCTAGCCCAGATTGGGAACCCATTTCCCAACCTCATAACTAGCTACCAAGAAGCCATTTCAGGCTATCAATCAAGTTAGAGTAGCTAGCTTGTCTAACTATCTTAGCTGGCATGCCAGCTGGCAAGGTTGGTAGACTTTAGAAAAGCAAGCAATAACTAAATGTATTGAATAAGACTCACATTCCTTTCAATCTTTTACCCAGGTTATAACAGAGTTTCAAAGAAGCATTATTACAGACAGCTCAAGAGGTATGCTTAGATATGCAGAAAATACATATTTTTTTCAAACATATAATTAAGCATAATGATTATGGCTCTAGATTACATTGCATGTGTTTGAAAAATGCAAAATTGCCCCCCCTCTGGGACACCCTCACATTTTAGTCATTTAGCAGATGCTCTTATCCAGAGCGACTTACAGTTAGTGAGTGCATACACATTTTTTTTTTTCATACTGGCCCCCCGTGGGAATTGAACCCACAACCCTGGCGTTGCAAGCACCATGCTCTACCAACTGAGCTACACAGGGCCTTTGTGCCCATTCAGACTTTTGGGGTACATGATGACCCTGTGTAACAGAGTTTATTGTTTACACCAAAAGTCCGTTTAAGATTTTTTGTTAATCTAAAGTATATTATGTGTTTGCATGTTCTGCATATCTGACCATGTGTGATCTCGTTCATGACAGGTGCTGCAGTGGACCGTTTTCTGATGACCGGGATGAGTCTGTTCTCCAGGAATGTGTTCTCCTATGTGGTGGATGGGGTCTATGACCACACCATGTTTGAGGTCACCATCTCTGTGTCTGATGGCAGGCATCACACGGAGGCTGTGGCCTACATCTATGTAGTCCCCTGGACCAACAGTGCTCCTACTACTACCACTACAGTAAGATCAGCCCTGTAGAGACATGGTACACACCACTGTAACACAGAGCTGCATGTGAAGGAAAACCTTTTACAATACAAGACTCATAATATACTGTATAATCTCTCTGCTGTCCCTCCTCTAGGCCAAGACTCCACAGGTGGTCACTGTGATGTCAGACTACTGGGATCCAGAGCCCTGGTTTGTTGCCGTGGTTATGGTTACTGGGGTCCTGCTCCTGTTGGTCACAAGTCTGCTCATCTGGGCCATACTTAGCCGGTGATCATCCCTCCGCAAACATACACCACCTGTGCCCAACTCGCTTGCTTTAGACTGTATAAAAGAGATTGAGAGAAGTCTGAAGTGAAGTCAAGCAAGGTTGCAGAACTCTGGTCCTTGAGGGCCTCTGTTCAATTATTATTATTCCACTCACTGTAGTGTTCACAAGATCTGCTCTCCCATGGAAGCATCAGGGGTTTCTGCAGGGTTTTGGGTATTGTAACAGTCCATAATAAGTATATTATGTTAATACCTGCAGCGTCTATGGTTGGGGACCAAAATAAGTGCCTGAACCTCCATCAAAGGAGACGTAAGTGCCATTAGAGAACCAAGTTGTGAATTATAAGACATGGTTGTTATAAAGAAACGTTTTACTACTAACTCACACCTTACTGTGTAATATGTTATCTGAGCATGGAAGAGATGAACAAACTGAGCACAGAAGTGAGTCAAAATGGAGCCATTGAGAATGACCAGGTAAGTTTGGGTCTATGGTTTCCAATTGCATCCTACCAAAGATGATCTATTATATTGACAAGCTAGCCAAGTGACCGCTCTAACAATGGAAATGTCCTCAACGATTGAAGGCAAGTGAGATCAGCTGGGACCATTCTAGCCAATGAGAGGGCAGATACGCTTGTGAACAACAGGCACAACTAAGTAGTTTATCTCTAAGTTGCCGGAATGCCACGTGCATCCACTTATATCAGTACATTTGCACAGCACCCGATGTCACAGGAAGGCCAAAAAGATCCTCAAGGACATCACCGATCCACAGCCTGTTCACCCTGCTATCATCCAGAAGGCGAGGTCAGTATAGGTGCATCAAAGCTGGGACCGAGAGACTGTAAAACAGCTTCTATCTCAAGGCTATCAGACTGTTAAATAGCCATCACTAGCCGGCTACCACCCGGTTTCTCAACCTTGCACCTTAGAGGCTGCTGCCCTATATACATAGACATGGAATCACTGACCACTTTAATAATGGAACACTATTCACTTTAATAATGTTCACATACTACTTTACTCATCTCATATGTATATACTGTATTCTATTCTACTGTATTTTAGTAAATGCCCTCCGACATTGCTTGTCCTAATATTTATATATTTCTTAATTCCATTCTTTTACTTTTAGATTTGTGTATTGTTGTGAATTGTTAGATACTACTGCACTGTTGGAGCTAGGAACACAAGCGTTTCGCTACACCCGCAATAACATTTTCCTAAATATGTGTATGTGACCAATCAAATTTGATTTGATTTGTAACAGACTAAACATTACGAAACTTCTATCTGATCAAATAAGCCTCAAGTATGAAAAATGTATGCACTCACTAACTGTAAGTCGCTCTGGATAAGTGTCTGCTAAAATAAATTTAAAAAATTTAAAAAAGTTATTCAACACTCATAGACCTCCATACAAAATATTTTGGGGGGAGTAAATCCTCTCGCTTCGCCTCTTCCTCTCTGATCCAATTGACTAGGGATGTGGAACAGCATGGGCTTACTTTTGCAAGTGTTTCTCCTAGACCTCACTAGATGGCACCCTCAGTCTGTCTAAAGTCAGCAAACAAGACAACCAGATGGTTCATTGCTTAGGGAAACTCTATAATGGGTTACAGTACTGTCACAGCATGAGGTACAGGCTTGATAGAGAGATTTAACCTCTCATTTCTGTTCTCTCAGAGGTTTGATGGGAAGGCACAAGATCCAGGTAAAAGCTGCTTATAAACCGGTTTCAAAATGTTCCAATATTCATATTTAGCAAATCATCTTCTAGAATTAATCAAAACATATGAATTAATCCAATGTTTTCTTTAGGTTTTCAGGCCTAAAATGTGTGGTAAATCTAAAACATGTTTTTCGTTAGTTTCAGGCTGCTGTTACCTGTTCAACTCTACCACAGGTGAATGGCGTTGGCTGTAGGGTACGTACACCATCAACGACCTGCAGTGATCTGTCTGCTGTTTGCACCATCGGGTTCTGCCTGAAGATGATTCATATGATAATGTTTGCAATCAGGCATGTTAGCGTAATTGTGATTTCAATTAGAGGTCGATGTGAAGTTTGTAATATTTTAAAAGATATACTGTATTGAATACATAATCATGCTGACATCCTGTGTTGGAGGCTACTCCTAAAGGACTATTTCTGTGTGTGTAATCTCGGTTAACCCAGAACTGAAGTCTTGCGTAATTGGTCAGCTGCTCGATTAAGTTCTGGGTCCATACATGTTAAGAGAAGGGATCAAGAAATGCTAGAAGAAGGAGCTCCACCCCCTCTCTTTGCAAGTTACGGGCCAAATGTCCCCTCCCCTCCCAAAATTCGAAATATGCTAACACCTGCGAAATCGTGATTTGTCCAAATAACCAGTGACAGAAAACCCAAACACCAGAACTACTGCTGCTCATTATCCTATGCATCCCGTTCAGTCCCGACAGATTCTACGGTACCAGTTATATTTGTGTAGATCTGTCCACGACAGATTACTGTGTGTACTCATGTAGTTCTGCTCAACAACAACATAAAAGTAGTTTTGTCTCTCTTCCATTCGGCTGATTTTTTCTCCATTGTGGGATGGTTTTATTACACCAATAGTTCTAACATGCTTTTAATGATCTGGTTTGGTGGAATATAACTATATTTGTAGTGTTATATGAACAACTTGACCATTAGTATGTGAAAATGAATTAAACAACGTGTAGGAAAACACGAGCAAGTGTGTCAGGTGATCTCTACTTTTATTTAAATTAAATCATCAAATAAGGACTTTTAAAGCATTTTATTATTTACCAAAAACACTAACCTTTTTCTCAATTAGTTTTTGTCTTTCCTTATGAACTATTTATCCTTAACATGGTTTGACAAAAATGGAAGACAAATGTATGCATACAGTCGGTCAAACACTACTGATAAAAGTATATCTACGAATCGGTTGTGAACTTAAGTGAAGGCACAAACATACTGCAAAAGACATGGAATTGGTACTATAAAAAAAATAAGAATGTTAGGTACATACTTTAAATATCAGTTAGAATTTTTGCCTTTCTTTCCCCTGGTTGTGAAGCTTTTTTCGTTTTACTTTTTTATATTTTTTATTTAGATTTTGTAAAAGGAATGTTAAGATATTCTGTGCAGATTACAGAGCTAATATTTTTGCCATCTTGTGTCATGCAGGAACAATATGCGGTTTGGATATGAATGAGGAACATATGTAAACATGATAAAAAAGCACTTCCTTTTCTGATTCATATTCATGCCTGTGCTTCTTAAAAAATATATGCTTTATGCGATTAAAAGTTTAATAGAGTTTGCACAGTAAAATGAAAGCATTTAATAAAAAACTTTTCCTTTGCCTCTTCTAATAATTGAAAATAAACAAAGAAAAACTACACAAAAAAATACAATAATAAATGTTTGATTTGTGGTCTTAGCCCAAAGAGTTAACAATATGAGCAACTGGATCAGCAATCGTTGAAATTCTGCAAGGCTCTCCGAGTTCGCAGTCTCTTAGGTGTCTTTAAAAAAAGCTGATCAAAGCAGAAATCGTGGTTGGCCAGTGCAGTCGTTCACGACGTGTGTCTTCCCTGGTCATCAGAGCTGTTCAAGTAATCTGAGGGAAGACAGAGAGGGAGAGGTCAACGCATCCAACATTCACCTTTATGTTGCATTCAAAGAACATAAAGTGCTGGTTTCTGTGCATTTATGAACAGATATCTATCCGTGTGTGCATGCGCGCGCGTGTGTGTGTGTAGTCCATAAGCGTGTGTTTGTAAAATGTGTGTGTGTGCTCTATTCTATGTGTAGCAGCTCACCTTGACTATTCCTCAGGCTTCACTCTAGAAGAGACCGCAGTCCTTCAGGTTGTTCTTGATGATGACGTCGGTGACAGCGTCGAAGACAAACTGAACGTTCTTGGTGTCGGTGGCTTGGGTGAAGTGGCTGTAGATCTCCTTGGTGTCCTTCTTCTTGTTCAGGTCCTCAAACTTGGTCTGGATGTAGGCCTGGGCCTCCTCAAATGTGTTGGGACCTGGGCATAGGAGAGGTTAAGACAGTGTTGTGCCCATAGAATTAGAAAGGTTGTGCTACTGAGTCTGCATGCATCATGCAAGGAGAAAACTAGTATCAGGTGGAGAAGTTGACCTGCTCTACCGATGGGATTCATGGGGTTTGTCAAGCTACACTATATATACACACAAAAGTATGTGGACACCCCTTCAAATTAGTGGATTCAGCTATTTCAGCCTCACCTGTTGCTGACAGGTGTATAAAATCGAGCACACCGCCATGTAATCTCCATAGACAAACATTGGCAGTAGAATGGCCTTACTGAAGAGCTCAGTGACTTTCAACGTGGCACTGTCATAGGATGCCACCTTTCCAACAAGTCAGTTCATAAAATGTATTCCCTGCTAGAGCTGCCCTGGTCAACTGTAAGTGCTGATATTGTGAAGTGGAAACATCTAGGAGCAACAACGGCTCAGCCGCGAAATGGTAGGCCACACAAGCTCACAGAATGGGACTGCCGAGTGCTGAAGCGCATAGCGCGTAAAAAGAATATGTCCTCGGTTGCAACACTCTCTACCGAGTTCCAAACTGCCTATGGAAGCAACATCAGCACAATAATTGTTTGTTGGGAGCTTAATTAAATGGGTTTCCATGGCTGAGCAGCCGCACACATGCCTAAGATCACCATGAACAATGCCAAGTGTCGGCTGGAGTGGTGTAAAGCTCGCCGCCATTGGACTCTGGAGCAGTGGAAACGCGTTCTCTGGAGTGCTGAATTACGCTTCACCATCTGGCAGTCCGACGGACTAATCGGGTTTGGCAGATGCCAGGAGAACGCTACCTGCCCGAATACATAGTGCCAACTGTAAAGTTTGGTGGAGGAGGAATAATGGTCTGGGGCTGTTTTTCATGGTCCGGCTAGGCCCCTTAGTTCCAGTGAAAGGAAAGCTTATCGCTACAACACACAATGACATTCTAGACAATTCTGTGCTTCCAACTTTGTGGCAACAGTTTGGGGAAGGCCCTTTCCTGTTTCAGCATGACAACGCCGCCGTGCACAAAGCGAGGTCCTTACAGAAATGGTTTGTTGAGATCGGTGCGGAAGAACTTGACCGGCCTGCACAGAGCCCTGACCTCAACTCCATTGAACACCTTTGGGATGAATTGGAACGCCAACTGCGAGCCAGGGCTAAACGCCCAACATCAGTGCCCGACCTCACTAATGCTCTTGTGGCTGAATGGAAGCAAGCCCCCGCAGCAATGTTCCAACATCTAGTGGAAAGCCTTCCCAGAAGAGTGGAGGCTATTATAGCAGCAAAGGGGGGACCAACTCCATATTAATGCCCATGATTTTTGGAATGAGATGTTTGACGAGCAGGTGTCCACATAGTTTTGGTCATGTAGTGTACACATCTTGCCACTAGATTCCTTCTACTGGTAAAAACTACACCTCCTCCAAGTCTAACATGAGAATGTCAACATACAAACACTGCCAACTACAAGTGAATATGGAACATTCAGGATGCAGAGTTGTGTTATGGTCTTACCAGAGTACTCTGGGAAGCAGATGGTCAGGGGGCTGTGGGTGATCTTCTCCTCAAACAGATCCTTCTTGTTGAGGAACAGGATGATGGAGGTCTCTGTGAACCACTTGTTGTTGCAGATGGAGTCAAACAGCTTCATGCTCTCGTGCATACGGTTCTATGGAGAGATGGAGAGAGAGAGAGAGCAAGGGAGGGAGCGAGGGAGGGAGGGAGAGAGGGAATGAAAACAAAACATTATTTAATTCCAGTTGATCCAGACAACTCAAAATGAAAGTGAAGCAATTTCCTTTAGAAATAAAATAGCATTAAAAGGGGTAAGAGAGATCTAGTCAGTGGCACTTAAAGGACAACAGTGTTCTGCTTCCTCACCATCTCCTCGTCCTCAGCCAGCACCAGATCATAGGCACTCATGGCCACACAGAAGATGATGGCTGTGACTCCCTCAAAGCAGTGGATCCACTTCTTCCTCTCAGAACGCTGGCCACCCACGTCAAACATCCTGCAGGGACACAAGGAGACAGTGAGGGTCACCCATTTAATTAAATTTTTTATTTTACCTTTATTTAACTAGGCAAGTCAGTTAAGAACAAATTCTTATTTACAATGACGGCCTACACCTGACAAACCCGGACGACGCTGGTCCAATTGTGCGCCACCTTATGGGACTCCCAATCACGGCCGGTTGTGATACAGCCTGGAATCGAACCAGGGTCTGTAGTGACGCCTCAAGCACTGAGATGCAGTGCCTTAGACTGCTGCGCCACTCGGGAGCCCTTGTTCACTAGTGGTACTGTATACCCAGCCCCAACACCCAGAACAACCTCTAGTCTAGCCCTGTCACTCCTTTGATGTGTGCAGATTTGGAATAAGTGGATAGGTGTAAACAATATGGTGCTGCCACCCCCTAGAGCTTTTACAGGAGCTTCCCCAATGTTGCTTAAACCTATCCAGTCTATTTGGATCTGGAAACACAGGAGGGGAAGTTTTCTGCAGGGCCATTCATGACCTCCGTATTGGGATCCATAATTACACCAATAACAGGGAAGCACCATGATAATTTGACATTCCTGGAGGAGCTCCCACACTCCATTAACTCAGGCTGGGCCTGGAGGAGAGGGGAGGCCTGAGGGTCTCTCTGTACTCAGAGCAGCTAGCCTTCCTCTGGGGACCTTCTCTCTCTATGTGCACTGCAGTCAGTCTGCCTCCTCTCAGTCTCTACCGCTCTCTCCCTCTCCATCTGTGTCTCTCTGTCTCTGTTTCTCTCGTTGTCTCTCTCTGTCTCCATTGGGCAAGACCCTTTGCTGCACAGACCCTGGCATTTTCCCTGGCATTTTGTTAGTATTTTGGTACAGTGACATTGCCATGGTTACGAGGCAGGCAGGCTGCAGACGGACGGGGCTGAGGAGCTGAGGGAGGCGATTTGGTAATGTCTGTTTGTTGACACGATTGAGCCACGCATGACTTATTCATGAGGACATCACCCACCGACCAACCCACCGACCTGGCACGTGGGGCGAGATGATGAGAGGATGCCCCAGTTCCGGTCTGGGCTGTGGTACCCATCTGAGATATTTACTAATCACCACCACCAAGGAAGTTACATTTCAAAACATGGAGAATAAGAATAAATACTGAGACCGTGGCATGGAAGTCTTATGTTTGGCATATACAGTACCAGACTGTCAGTTTAGTTTTTGTACTGTCAGCCCTGCTAGAAATTCAGCTGATATTTGGATGAAGTTCCTATGTAATGGAGTGCTACTATGCTATGTGTTGGCAGGCTGTGTAAGCACAGCTCCTTACTGCAGGGCTGTAATGTTCATGGCTGTAAAGAGTGGTACTCACCTCAACAGGGCTCTCATCAGCTTTAATATCACTCACTGTAACCTGATTCCATCAGCCCAGATAAACAATAGCTAACACTGCTGCAGGGCAGGCAGGGGAACGTTATGTTATTTGTGTTTGTGTACAAACACACCCAAACATGTGTCTCTGTATACAGAGTACACACAGACAGACACACACAGACAGATGCACGCACGCACACACACAGCCTTCTGCACGCACACACACGTTTTGATTTTCAGTGCTTTGAAAAAAGTGTATCCTGACTCCATTTGGAAGCCTCTATTCCATTTGATGTGTAAAGGTGGTGGTGGTATTGACATTTAACCTGGATTTTCCTCTGTATTTTATCATTAAGACATGGATAGACAGATGACTGAGAAATAGTTATGTTATCCAGGATAAGGAGGCATAGAGGCATGTATCCAATTCCCACATTCAAATGAAAATGGATTTCTGAAGCCACTGCCAGTAAACACATCAACCAGTCCATCAACACTTTCTCACACAACCTTCCCACCATACACACCGAGGCACACACAAACTAACAGCACACACAGAGACAGACAGAGACAAATGGAGAGAACCAGGGTCAGTCAGCTGGAAATTGTATTTTCAAAGTAACAACCAGACAAAATGGTGCCTTCGAGGAATATCACATCACTAGCTTCACTCCAAAAGACAGAGAGGAAAGAAGAAACAGAGAGGTTATTTTGCGTTTGGGCAATGGTGCGAGCAGCGGGTTCAAAATTAATCATGTTCGTGTTAAGCATACTACATCCTGAGGCTAACTTCTGAGACAGGATCAGGCCACTCATCTCACATTCACTACCTTAACAACACACAGAGAAACTAAACCACTGCTCTCTGCTGGAACAATACATATTAGAATATGAAGGAGGAACCTCTGATTTACAATGGGGAACTGGTGCACTCACACACACGCAGGTGCATTCACATGCACGCACACACTAGTACGTCAGTGGTCCACTCACTTAAAGTGCAGGTCTTTGAAGGTGAAGTGTGTCTCCACGATGCCAGTGGTCTTGACTCTGGTCCGCAGCACATCCTGCTGTGTGGGGATGTAGTCTGATTTGGCTATCCTCTCCAGGTCATTTAGGTAGCTGACAGGGCCAACACACACACATCAGAATACAGACATACACACACGTTAGAATACAGACACACACACACACACACACACACACACGTCAGAATACAGATACACACAGCTGTCAGATTAAAAACCAGGTGGACCCTCACTAAGCCTAGGGTCACAGCGTTTCAGGGATCCAGCTCTGCACCACTGGTTTGGCCACATTGTTAATGGTATTGGTGATATCTGTTTCTTTAACCCTCATCAATATAAACTCACCACTAACTGGATAAAGACCCATCAGTTTCTATTTGCTTGACTATCTGAAGTGCCCAATCTATGGTGGATACGATACGCATCAGCACTCAATCTGCCAGGAGATGCCGACAGGCTGACTCAACACATTTACACACACACACACACACACACACACAAATGACAAGGGCATTAGATCCCTGGAAAACCATCTGATTGCGCCTGTTGAGAGAGAAAACAATTGTGTTAGTCATAGCGCTGCAGACAGCCAGGTCAGCGGGCCCTGTCAGATTCCTCTCATGTGGCCTCAGCTGGACGGCCAGGATGTAATTAAATGGTTTTTGAGGCCTTTCATTCATGGCAATCAAGCTTTGTTTGGAAGAAGCTGTCTGTTCATTTATTTAGCAGCAGCGGCCCGTTACGTCATTTGAATATAGAGGACATCTCCTGACCCTCTGACGCCTCTATCTGAACGGCTGGATGGAGACGGGGGATGGGAGGTTGGGACTAGTGGGTGATGTGGGCTTCACATTTTGAATCAAATCAATGGCTCAACATTTTAAATCACACAGTTATTCTTCTGCCTTATAAAGATGTTCTGGATGGTGTGCCTCGTCACTGTACGGTACCATCAGCCACCGTCATATTCACCTATCATTGGACTACAGACTGACACGATTTACCACCCTCACATTCTCAGGTTCCCTCTCTGTGTTTATACCTGCAGAGGTTGACTTCTAGAGACTGTTCTATAAACAGTGTGCCCTGAGCTGAGGTTTACACAGAGGATTGTACATCAACATCGTGACGTGGCGTTCCATCACATAACAAAGTATTTGTGTTCGCTGTAATCCTGCCTAAAACAAGTCTGTGCGTACATTAAAAGTGTTCTCCACACACACTCCTTCCTTCATCACAAACCAACATCTCTGATTGAAGGACTCTTATCCCACGCCCCAAAGAGAAAGGCCTCCTTTGTTGTGAGGGATTCACATATTGAAACATTGCTTAATTTGAGCTTTTGATTTCTAGCATCCAGAGCTTAATTGAATCCTGTGGGCTTACAGTTACAATTTACAAACCCTCCTCCTCCCCCTCCACCTCCTCCCTCTAGCAATGGTTCAACATTATTATGGTTATTAGCTCTATGCTTTGATTCATTTGCTCAGGGATTTGGCCTTTGGAGAGGAGGTGAGTTACAGTAGTGGAGCTGTAGGAGTGATTCTAGCCTGCTGAGAGGTGATCGGGCCTCTCCCTGTGCTCTGAGATAGATGACAGTCTGGAGGCTGATATTGTTGAAGCACACAGGAAGTCTAACTACAGTAGTCAAAGTGCTCTGGAGAGGCCTGATGAAATAATGTAAATCCTCATCACCGCCTCCACAACAATACGCTTACCAGAAAGCCAGAGTTTTAATAAGAGCAGGGCGAGTGAATGAGTGAGTGAGTGAGTGAATGAGTGAGTGAGTGAGCGAGCGGGATTAAAAAGTTATGATTAGACTTGGTAATACAAAAGGGGGAGAGAGAACTATATCGCTCACGCTGCTCTTTTAATATTTAGTCGGATGCCAGGCAATCATTTTGTGACACGCTATCCTGTCATGCATTTTAGAGCCCATTTCCTTGGCACTATGCAATCTCACCAAGAGCCCTTGGGTCTAATGTACTCGCCTAAGAACAAGTACAACACTCTCCCTCTGTTGCAGGTGGGGATACATGCACAAGTGGTTTTCCAGTCACATAGACGGTGAGTGTATCAGGAATAGTGGTATCAGGGGATGTGGTGTTCTCTACATTTCCATATAGAGTGATTGAGGGGCCCTGCGGGCCCCGGTGATAAGGGCCTCTAACCTACACCACACTACAGCAGCATTGGGGAGAGAGAGTCTTGCAGTGTTACTGTGTTTTCTTTCATCATTAGACCAACAACTTAGTACTACATTACACTGACGGAGCATTACATTACATTGACTCAGTTAAAGGCCTCAATGTTAATGAGTGGCTCTGTGGAGAAGCTCCAGAGAGAGCTGATAGCCTGTGGCATGTAGGCAGGCTGTGTTGGGGTCAGACATTAGAAGCATGACTAGACCTACAGTGAGGGAAAAAAGTATTTGATCCCCTGCTGATTTTGTACGTTTGCCCACTGACAAAGACATGATCAGTCTATAATTTTAATGGTAGGTTTATTTGAACAGTGAGAGACAGAATAACAACAAAAAAATCCAGAAAAACTCATGTCAAAAATGTTATAAATTGATTTGCATTTTAATGAGGGAAATAAGTATTTGACCGCTCTGCAAAACATGACTTAGTACTTGGTGGCAAAACCCTTGTTGGCAATCACAGAGGTCAAAAATGTATTGTAGTTGGCCACCAGGTTTGCACACATCTCAGGAGGGATTTTGTCCCACTCCTCTTTGCTGATCTTCTCCAAGTCATTAAGGTTTCTCGAGGCTGACGTTTGGCAACTCGAACCTTCAGCTCCCTCCACAGATTTTCTATGGGATTAAGGTCTGGAGACTGGCTAGGCCACTCCAGGACCTTAATGTGCTTCTTCTTGAGCCACTCCTTTGTTGCCCTGGCTATGTGTTTTGGGTCATTGTCATGCTGGAATACCCATCCACGACCCATTTTCAATGCCCTGGCTGAGGGAAGGAGGTTCTCACCCAAGATTTGACGGTACATGGCCCCGTCCATCGTCCCTTTGATGCGGTGAAGTTGTCCTGTCCCCTTAGCAGAAAAACACCCCCAAAGCATAATGTTTCCACCATGTTTGACGGTGGGGATGGTGTTCTTGGGGTCATAGGCAGCATTCCTCCTCCTCCAAACACGGCGAGTTGAGTTGATGCCAAAGAGCTCCATTTTGGTCTCATCTGACCACAACACTTTCACCCAGTTCTCCTCTGAATCATTCAGATGTTCATTGGCAAACTTCAGACGGGCCTGTATATGTGCTTTCTTGAGCAGGGGGACCTTGCGGGCGCTGCAGGATTTCAGTCCTTCACGGTGTAGTGTGTTACCAATTGTTTTCTTGGTGACTATGGTCCCAGCTGCCTTGAGATCATTGACAAGATCCTCCCATGTAGTTCTGGGCTGATTCCTCACCGTTCTCATGATCATTGCAACTCCACGAGGTGAGATCTTGCATGGAGCCCCAGGCCGAGGGAGATTGACAGTTCTTTTGTGTTTCTTCCATTTGCGAATAATCGCACCAACTGTTGTCACCTTCTCACCAAGCTGCTTGGCGATGGTCTTGTAGCCCATTCCAGCCTTGTGTAGGTCTACAATCTTGTCCCTGACATCCTTGGAGAGCTCTTTGGTCTTGGCCATGGTGGAGAGTTTGGAATCTGATTGATTGATTGCTTCAGTGCACAGGTGTCTTTTATACAGGTAACAAGCTGAGATTAGGAGCACTCCCTTTAAGAGTGTGCTCCTAATCTCAGCTCGTTACCTGTATAAAAGACACCTGGGAGCCAGAAATCTTTCTGATTGAGAGGGGGTCAAATACTTATTTCCCTCATTAAAATGCAAATCAATTTATAACATTTTTGACATGCGTTTTTCTGGATTTTTTTGTTGTTATTCTGTCTCTCACTGTTCAAATAAACCTACCATTCAAATTATAGACTGATCATTTCTTTGTCAGTGGGCAAACGTACAAAATCAGCAGGGGATCAAATACTTTTTTCCCCTCACTGTATATTGGATGTGACATGAGACCTGTTGTTGTTCTACATAGAGGAATACGTACAATGGGAGTCACTATAAAGGACTAACCTGGGACAATAGCATAGCCGTACACTGTAGCATCTGTTGACTGATCGCTGTGAGAACCAGAGCATAGAACCGTAAATCTGGGTGCAGAGATGCATAGCACTGCTGGTTTCAGGGACTGACTCAGACCTGGGACACCAGGTGAGTGATCTCTCTGGCCAATCAATGACATCAATCAAGAGCCAGGTAGAGTAGAAAGGAAAAGCAGCAGTGCTGCAGACCTCGAGCCAGGATTTTAATAGCCCTGGTCTAAAGGCTGCAACCAGGCATGGCATGGTCTGTGCCAACCACAAACTGCCACCAATCCCTGGATACCCCAGTGACTCCCTCATTCAGGCTAAATGTTCCTGATAGCTGCCTCATGGCCAGCAGAGAGGGAGAAGGAGAGAGGGAAAGAGGGAGTGACTGCATATGTGAGCAGTCACTGTGAAACCACACTGTCCTCCACCCTGACTTCAGAGCTCTCGCTGCTATTCGGTGGCATTTCCATGCTATTTCCACACACAGCGGGACAGGACAGCTCTACTAGCGTGGGTGGCTGAGCAGGCTGCCCCAATGCAGACAGACTTTGGACACAGAACTACACAGAGGTTTCAGAACAGAACTAAAACTACATTCAGACCCATCTCCAGAAATATTGTTGGTAAGCTAAATCAAAGGAAAGGCATTTTAGAACATCAAATGTAACTAATAAATGAACACCATCAGCAGTTAGAAGATAGCATTTCATTGTCTGTTTCCACCTCAAATTTGCCTTGGCCATTAAAAAACCTTACAGGAAAACAACAACATAGAAAACATATTCAGGCTGGGGACTATAATGGGGACTATACAGGTGAATTAAAAACATTTTTCACACTACATTACAGTTAAGGTACATGCCGTTTTCTGTAAACTGCTCTCTAAACAAGTGTGAGTCATCCGTTTGTAATAAACATGTTGGTTGTTTCTTTACTCCCATCATCAATGTGATTGATCCAATCTATTATCTCAGGAACTGGTCCTCTCATCAGAAATTGATTCAGGGGAAATTAGGCTTGCGAAAATTCCTGGAAGTTCAGTCAGACTAACCCCTATTTATAAACCAATTGGTTTCTCAACAAAGCGTTAACACATAGCGCACGCAGCCTTGATCTCTTAATCCCCTTAAGATATAGATGGGAGACCGAGGGGGGACGGGAGGGGGGTTTAGGAGTCACTGTGCTGTGAAGCCATCAGAATCAGAGCCTGCTGGTTTACCCTGCTGCTGCTGCTGCTTCCCCAAAACTCCCCGATTGCTTTGCCCCCAGATTCAGAAGGTAAATCCAGTAAAATCACTGCTCAGCCTATTTCAACAGGCCCCATTAAGGTTTGTGATCAAGGAGGGGCACATTGAGAGAGTGGCTGAGCTAATGGTACTAAGGTCTTCCAAAAGTTCCCTTCCTATGGAGTATGAATAAGTTACAGGTAGGCCGTTTATGTTTTTGTAGTTTCCCAAAAATGTTTTTAAAAGTTAGACATTTCACATAAAAATTGCATATCAACAGCTTTGGTTACAGCCTTACAGGTACTATATGGTAACATGGAGAAGAGGAGGACCATGACAAAGTAGACTATGAGCCTGGCATAAGTACGTAGCCGAGTGGGCAGAGTGGTGGTGGTCATTACTCACTAGGCAGCCGAGTCATTGAGCTGGTACTCGCGGGCGCGCGTAAAGCAGCCCTGCACCCCTCCGTCGCCCCACAGCCTGTGCATGGCGTTGGACAGGTCGTCTGGCAGGATGCCCTGCTCCTCAGCAGCCCCCGACAGGGCAAACAGCTGGCGGGCATCGTCCTGGAGGCGGGAGACACAGACACACACAGGGTTAGGAATGAGTCAGACCAAGTGGAACAGACAAGAGACCTTAACTAATCAACGTTAATAAACTTGGCCATGGTAAAGCAGACAGTAATAGATCAGGTCTCACAAGGTCAATTAGACTGGAGGACACAATCCGACAGTCTGCACTACAAACAGAAGAACCATTAAACACAGTAATCATCCCTATACACTGGAGAGACTGTCCTCACTCTTACTCAGAGCTCTGTGTGTGTGTGTGTGTGTGTGTGTGTGTGTGTGTATGTGTGTGTGTGCGTGTGTCTGTGTGTGTTTTAGCCAGCCATACAGGGGACTCATCATTCAGAGTAGCCACAGGGGAGCACCCCAGGGCACAGCTCCCCTCTAGAAGGGTCCATGAGAACAGGATGACTGAGGTAATTATACCTGTAGACACAGCCAGGTTTCAGCCAGGTCTCAGCCCTGACTTACACACAGAATGTGGTGTAGGGCTTTCCCCTAGCATGGTCCCACGCTGACTCACGCAGATACATACATACAAACAGAGCATGAGAAGGGCCGATTACACAGCTCCCACATCGGCTTAGCGCACCACAAAACCCTCTTGACCATCCCTCCGTGCATCGATGCTTTCCAGGGAAAACTCGGACAAACTCCTAAAGCTGCATTGACTGAGAAGAGACGTGGGCCTAAGTTCCATACAGCTGGTTAACTTGTGTCTGCCCAGTCCTCCCCCAGTCTAACCCAGTCTAACCCAGCCCATGGACTGGTTTATAAGTGAAGGAGGGAGTTATAAGCAGAGGAATCAAAACAACTCCTCACACCAGGTGATCTCAAGTCCTCTTTAAAGTGGGTCATAGGAAATGGAGTATGTACTTGAGTGAGTGTATTGTGTGGTATTTAAAGTCTGTGATAAACAGACTAGTTTTATGGGGACTGAAGGATAATGTACCGTATCGTGTCAAGACTACGACACCTGAGCCCACCTCCTCCCTTCAAGAGCCCTTAAGGTGTGCACAATAAGAGAGAAAAGTATGGTGTGTATAGGTTGCAAAATGATGGTCATTTCCCTTTATTTCCCTGGTTTTCCAGAAATCCTGGTTGAGGATTACGGTTTTCCGGCTTATTCCCTCCTGATTGCGAGAATCCTCCAAACCGGATTTCTGGAAAACCTGGCATTTTTTTGAAAAGTTACCGGAATTCCGCAACCCTAAGTGTGTAAAATGAAAACTAGGGCTTTAAACAGCCAATCTATAGAACATGTAGTAAACTAAACTATCAGGCTAAGAGAGTAAGACACCAGTACATTTTGAGTAGCACTCCCTCTTACAGTCTCACCCCTGAGGAGGTGCTTTGTAAAGGAAGTTAGCATGGCTGAGTTAGCTGCTGCAGCAGTGAATACAGCTGATAAATATACTGCAGTGGGGGACTAGAGAGCGAGCCCTGTCCCCTTCAGCACTACATACTCACTGGGAGTGGTATTAGATGAGCCAGCTGTAATGCGTGTGCGTGTGTGTACAGATTGGGCTGAGACAGGAATAAGCCTACAGCCCATTCCTACTCCATTTCTATTTAAATTCCTACTCCAGTCTCCTTTTCACTTGATTTCTAACACCTAAATGACTTAACAAAAGGCATATCTCAATAGGCATGGGTGCTGCACATTTGTAGTGAATGAGATGCATTAGTGCCATACAATGTAAAGCACTTTATCAACCACCATCTATAAAGACAGAGCAACTATTCACCTAAATGAAATAAAAAGGTATGGCAACCAGGTCTAACACTTACTATGATACATCCAAATCTACTGCTTCACAAAGCAATCTTAAGCAGCATCCCTCACTCCAGATATTGGAACAGTTCATCAGTCACATGCTAGGTATATGAGTGAGCGTTTCCTCTGCAAGCTTCTTTGTATCCAGAGCCATATATCTAAATACATGCCTCTGCTTAGAGCTAGTAGAGCAGCATAATCCACAAAGCCCATTGTTGGAGAATGTAGCCTGTCTTTTGGTGTACAACATTATCATTCTGAATTCATTATGTCGAACAGGTTAGGTTATAATACATTACACTGGATTAGTTTCACAGCTGGGAAGTTTTGATTTCTGTATTTTAATTATTTTGAGAGACACTGCCAGACCTGCAGAGATTTGTAGCAGGAATATCTCTTGCAGAGCTAGCTACCTCCAATAAACCAACTCTGACACATACCAGTGGGAGAACACTCTGCCCTCTCCATACCTCCTCTGCACAGGAAAGTAATACCGGCAAGTAGTACAAAATAAAGTATTTATCTCAACACTTGATCAAATCCAATATTAGACTTTGTAGAGAGTGAGCAGATCGCTCAGTTAATAATACTTCTGATAGGTTGGTAATATAAAGAACAGGCAAATCTTTCATAAGATTCCTATCTGCACAGAGATGAACTGTAAATCATATTTGGGAAAGACATGGGGGGCATGACTATAATTATCTCTTACTAAGAACACATGGATAGTTTTTTATTGTTGTGTCATTACTCTCAGTAGTGCCCACTGGCCAGACAGGCAGCTCAGCTCTGCAGTGGTCCCCCTAGTCTAATGACACACATGAGCAGCAGGACTGAGTACACATGGCACATCACTGTATGGCATTCACTCACTCCACCTCATTCAAGGTCTGGGAGGCTATACTACTCGAAACTCTAAACTGTCTGGAGGCTATTGTCACTTAGCACTTCAGGAAGAGGAGATACTTGAGCATAGATCATTTCCCCCGCCTCACTTCAGACAGATTAGAGCTGGACTAGAGAATAGGGACAAAGTGGAGAAGTCTGTTTTGTGAGAAGAGTGGGTGCGGTTCAAGGGCTGGTTGGCTTTTGGAGCAGCAGTGAGGCGTATGCAGAGAGAACAGTGGCTGCTCAGGTGGATGGACTCAGACACTCTGTGTGTGTGTGTGTGTGTGTGTGTGTGTGTGTGTGTGTGTGTGTGTGTGTGTGTGTGTGTGTGTGTGTGTGTGTGTGTGTGTGTGTGTCTTACCGCTCGAGCAGCCTCTTCGTAGTCGATCTTGAGGTTGGCCATAGCCTTGATGATGGCCATGATGGACTGGATGGTGTTGCTGTAGACCACAGCTCTGTACTGTTTACACTCCTCTTCTGAGTAGCCATCCTCATGGATGATCCTGACAGACACAGGAGAGAGAGAGATGGTGGGTCATTTAAACAGGAGGGAGAGAGACGGTGGGTCATTTAAACAGGAGGGAGGGGGATGGGACATTTAAACAGGAGGGAGAGAGACGGTGGGTCATTTAAACAGGAGGGAGAGGGGGGGTGGGTCATTTAAACAGGAGAGAGAGAGACGGTGGGTCATTTAAACAGGAGAGAGAGAGGGGGTGGGTCATTTAAACAGGAGGGCAGAGAGGGGTGGGGACATTTAAACAGGAGAGCAGAGAAGACGGTGGCGTCATTTTTAAACCAGGAGGAGAGAGGGGGTGGGGACATTTAAACAGGAGGGAGAGAGACGGTGGGTCTTCATTTAAACCGGAGGGGCGAGGGGGGGTGGGTCATTTAAACAGGATGAACGAGAGAGGACGGACTTGGGTCATTTAAACAGGAGAGAGAGAGGGGGTGGGTCATTTAACAGGGAGGGAGAGAGGGGGGTGGCGACATTTAAACAGGAGAGAGAGCGACGGTGGGTCATTTAAACAGGAGGGAGAGAGGGGGTGGGGAACATTTAAACAGGGAGAGAGAGAGACGGGGGGTCATTTAAACAGGAGAGGAGAGAGACGGTGGGTCATTAAAACCAGGAGGAGAGGGGGATGGGACATTTAAACAGGAGGGAGAGAGGGGGTGGGACATTTAAACAGGAGGGAGAGAGGGGGTGGGACATTTAAACAGGAGGGAGAGAGGGGGGTGGGACATTTAAACAGGAGGGAGAGAGGGGGTGGGACATTTAAACAGGAGGGAGAGAGGGGGTGGGACATTTAAACAGGAGGGAGAGAGGGGGTGGGACATTTAAACAGGAGGGAGAGAGGGAGTGGGTCATTTTAACGCTACAGCATACAATGACATTCTAGACAATTCTGTGCTTCCAACTTTGTGGCAACAGTTTGGAGAAGGCCCTTTCCTGTTTCAACATGACAATGCACAAAGTGAGGTCCATACAGAAATGGTTTGTCGAGATCGGTGTGGAAGAACTTGACTGGCCTGCACAGACAACTTCTCGATGAACATCTCATTTAAAAATCATGGGCATTAATATTGAGTTGGTCCCCCCTTTGCTGCTATAACTGCATCCACTCTTCTGGGAAGGCTTTCCACTAGATGTTGGAACATTGCTGCGGGGACTTGCTTCCATTCAGCAAATGGGGGACCAACTCCATATTTATGCCCATCATTTTGGAATGAGATGTTCGATGAGCAGTTGTCCATATACTTTTGGTCATGTAGTGTATGTGCAGATATTTGCACCATGTCATTGCTCGCTCTCTCACTCTGCTGTGAGTGCATGATGAGCCTCTTGCTAGCTGTCAGTCATATGGCGAGGGGGTGAAACTTATTGGCTAAAACTCAAATTGCTAAGGGTCTGGGCCCACGTAGGGGAAAATGTAGGGAAAATGGCACAGCATAGCTTCCAGGAAACAGTCAGGATTTTGTGGTTAATTGAGGTAAAACTTTTATTCTGCTCATATACTATGCCTGTGTGAAAGCTGGAGGTTTAAAAAATACTTACTAGTCGCCAAAGTTCCGGAGCATTTATTTTATCATTGAATCAAGTACCCTCTACTTTAATCATTGGCTGTACTATGCATACTGTATACTTCAGTCCATACAGACGTTACTGGTCTGTGGGGGAAGCTCAGGGAAGCTCAGGTCTCTGCTGAGAGAACACTACACTAAAACTAAAACAAATAGACTATAGTATGGAGGAGGGAGACTGAAAAAAGTGACAGTAAAAAGTGGCCAGGCCAAGACAGGTGCTCCTACGCTACGAAACAAATATATTTTCCCCGTCTAGTCACACAAATGCCCTCTGGGAGCATGGAAGGGGCCCTGCGGTGAGGCGTTCTCAATCAAACTAATTGGAATGCAAGGGAGCACGCTAGGACAAAGGCCAAATGGGACTTAAAGAATGAGCACACAGAAGTGTTTTTCTCAATTACAATTCAGCGGAGACAACACACCAAAGAGCCACGCTGGCTGGGGAGGTTGTAGGGAGACTTACTTGTTTAAAGTCATGTTCAATTTCCCCAAAACGTAAAAATAACTAGATTTCATGCAGAAACAGACATTTTCCTAGATGAGATCTGATGAGATTGCAAATTCATAATGGTAATAGTCAAGAAGAACCACAGCAGAATTAATTTTAATTCTGAAATCTAAGTAACATTTTGAAATTCCCGAGCAAATCTTGATGAAGCCTTTTCCTTGTAAGTGGAAAAGTTATTTATACAAAAGGCAATTATACTGAACAAAAATATAAATGCAACATGCAACAATTTCATTTTTCTTTACTGATTTACAGTTCATATAAGGAAATCACTCAATTGAAATTAATTAATTAGGCCCTAATTTATGGATTTCACATGACTGGGCAGGGGCGCAGCCATCAGTGGACCTGGGAGGGCACAGTCCCACCCACTTGCGAGCGAGGCCCACCCACTGGGGAGCCAGGCCCAGCCAATCCCACAAAAGAGGGCAGGCCGGTTGGACGTACTGCCAAATTCTCTAAAAAGATGTTAGAGGTGGCTTATGGTAGAGAAATTAACATTAAATTCTCTGGCAACAGCTCTGGTGGACATTCCTGCAGTCAGCATGCCAATTCCACGCTCCCTCAAAGCTTGAGACATCTGTGGCATTGCGTTGTGTGACAAAACTGCACATTTTAGAGTGGCCTTTTATTGTCCCCAAAACAAGGTGCACCTGTGTACTGATCATGCTGTTTAATCAGCTTCTTGATATGCCACAGCTGTCAGGAGAATGGATTATCTTGGCAAAGGACAAATGCTCACTAACAGGGATATGAACAAATTTGTGCACAGAATTTGAAAGAATGCTAAGAGGTGATGTAGAAAGAGGTTTTAACAGTGTTTCGCCCATGTATTACAGGGTTGTGTGTGGTGTGGTGTGTGTGTGTTATTAGTGCAGTGTGAAAGGGTTTAATAGCGTCAGTTGAAGTGATCTGTGTGAGTGGATGAAAGAGGGATTGATAGCATGGCAAGACGAGAATGTGGAGGAATAATTCAACCATTGAAGAGCGTGTGTGAGGTTATATAAAGGATAATTGTGTGTGCTTGCATTGATGTGTATGTGGGGGGTAGGTGTGTGTGTGTTTTGGTATTCCAGGTAGTAACATCTGTGTATGTCTTCATGAATGTCTGTGAGAGGGATTGACGGTTTGAGTGTGTGTGTTCATTTGTGAGATTGAGCAACGGGGTTATACAGAGACAACAGTGACTCCAGAGCCTAGGTGCTCATAACCATCAGCTTTAGTCCTACAGATTTACCCCAGCACTCCTGAAAAAAACTGCATGGTTCAAGAAAAGGTGAAGGATGTGTTATAATGCACCCAGCCAGAGGCCACACAAACAGGGGGATACAGTAGATTTCCTGCGTATGCTTGGCTGGATGTTCAGATGCACAGGGCACTAACCAGTAACTAACCTGTTCGATGTGCTTTCCAGTTTGTGCACAAATGTTTGACATGACAACAAACATGACAAAAGAGTCATATGCACAGAACATACAGGTCCAGATCTGCAACCAGACTAATAACCTGTATCCTCTCTATACAGTCAGGTCCATATATATTTGGACATTGACCAAGTTATTATGATTTTAGCTGTCTACCACAGCATATTGGAGTTGAAATTAAATAATGAATATGAGCTGAAAGTGCAGACTTTCAGCTTAAATGTGAGGGTATCTACATCCAAATCGGGTGAACGGTGTAGGAATTACAACACTTTTTATATGCGTGTCCCCCCTTTTTAAGAGACCAAAAGTAATTGGACAATTGGCTGCTCAGCTGTTCCATGGCCAGGTGTGTGTTATTCCCTCCTTAGTTCATTTACAAGTACCACCTCATCTGTGAAGCATGGTGGAGGTAGTGTTATGGCGTGGGCATGTATGGCTGCCAATGGAACTGGTTCCCTTGTATTCATTGATGATGTGACTGCTGACAAAAGCAGCAGGATGAATTCTGAAGAGTTTAGGGCTATATTATCTGCTCAGATTCAGCCAAATGCTTCAAAACTCATTGGATGGCGCTTCACAGTGCAGATGGAAAATGACCCGAAGCATATTGCGAAAGCAATCCAATACTTTTTTAAGGCAAAGAAGTGGAATGTTCTGCAATGGTCAAGTCAATCACCTGACCTGAATCAAATTGAGCATGCATTTCAATCAATCAATCAATTTTATTTTATATAGCCCTTCTTACATCAGCTAATATCTCGAAGTGCTGTACAGAAACCCAGCCTAAAACCCCAAACAGCTAGTAATGCAGGTGTAGAAGCACTTCACTTACTGAAGGCAAAACCGAAGGCTAAACGCCCCAAGAACAAGCAGGAACTGAAGACAGCTGCAGTAAAGGCCTGGCAGAGCATCACCAGGGAAGAAACCCAGTATCTGGTAATGACTATGGGTTCCAGACTTCAGGCAGTCATTGACTGCAAAGGATTTGCAACCAAGTATTAAAACTCACAATTTAATTTATGATTATGTTAGATTGCCCAATTACTTTTGAGCCCCTAAAATTGAGGGGCTATGTATAAAAATGGTTGTAATTCCTACACGGTTCATACAATAATTTTGACAAAACCCTTAAACTAAAGATGAAAGTCTACATTTAAAGCACATCTTGATTGTTTCCTTTCAAATCCATTGTGGTGGCGTACAGAGCCAAAATGATGCAAATTGTGTCACTGTCCAAATACTTATGGACCTCACTGTACGTTCCAAATGATCCAGCGGGGCTAGTAGGGAGCATCCTGTACAGCGTAGACTTAAACTAACTGTATACTCTACTGTCAGAGTAGCTCCTTGGAATATGAGCTAGCAGGGAAGGAGTCAATGCATTAATCATGGTGAGAAAAACTCCTACGGTCCATACGTTTTTATCAGCGTGTGCATGTGTGTGAGTGGCTGTTCATTCCCGGGGAGACCGCAAACCCATATGTAACAGTTGAGAAAGAAACAGGCTTACGACTAAGTATAGGAAGCAGTATGTACTGTATAGATCAAATCAAATCTTATGTCACATGCTTCGTAAACAACAGGTGTAGACTAACAGTGAAATGCTTACTTACGGGCTCTTCCCAACAATACAGAGAGAAAAATTATAGAAAAAATTATAACACAAGGAATAAATACACAATGAGTAACAATAACTTGCCTATATACACAGGGTATCATTACCGAGTCGATGTGCAGGTGTACGAGGTAATTGAGGTAGATATGTACATATAGGTAAGTATAAAGTGACTAGGCAACAGGATAGATAATAAACAGTAGCAGCAGCTTATGTGATGAGTCAAAAGAGTTAGTGCAAAAAGGGTCAATGCAGATAGGGTTCCACAATAGGCGGCCCGCAGCCCGAATGATTTGATTTGGCCCCCCAAATGTTTTGATATTTGCTTTTTTGGGGGGGGGGACATTAAAGACTGTAAAATGACCAGAAAATCAGCTCAAAGTGATTTTAACTTAGGAAAGCTATTCCCAAGTATTCCCACGCATAGATAAAGAGGCATATCGTTGATCGTATACCAATGTAATCAAGGTTTTTGTCAAATACTATATCTGTTTGGGCTTCTTGCGGTCAATGTGTAGTGTAGAAATTATTAATAATTATGTTCCGGCCCCCCTATCATCTGCTGAAGTATAAAATTGGCTGAATGTAATTGGGGACCCCTTGTATAGATTATAGCATGAGGGAAAGGACTCCTGAAGAAAGGATATGTAGAGGATTCTGGGTATCTAGCTTAAGAATGTACTGTCCCGGTCTGCTTGTGTTGACAATGACATCAGAGTCTGATTGCGATATTGGGTTAATTGGTCATGCTTGACGGGAACAGCAGCAAAACAAAACAATGAGGAGCCAGCCAGACATGGAGCTCAACTTACTTCATCTGTTTCACAATGGTGCTCTTCCCTGACTCTCCAGCACCTGCACAAAGAACAAAAACAGTCAGAGGTTAAAAATACACTCCCGTTAGTGGAGAAATGTAAACAGGCAGCCAGCAAGGCTGCCTCACATCGGGACCAGAGTACCCCACCCCCCTCCTCTTCCTCAGGCCTTCACGCTTAAATGTATCTCTCCCTATCTTCCTTTCTCTGAGTAAATCTGTCTCTCTTTTCATATACCTCCCAGTCGCTCCCTATCCAGTTACAGCCTAACAGTTATGTCAATCTACAGTAGTGCATATAAACAGTAGTATCGTTATGCCTCCGAGGCCCCCTCACTGTCTCATTGAGTTTCACAGAGTTTCCTATACCCAATAACTCCTGTGTCAACAGCATGACCTGTGTCTTAACTTCAGAGCAAGCCGTCGTGTTGTAACTCTCCCTCCCCACAGCCGCTGAGACAAGGCACTTAATCATCATTAGCGTTGAATTAAAACGTCTGAGTGCTTTCACAAACAGGATATGAGCCTGTTCCTTCAGGGAATTCTCAGATGACGTCATGTTGCTTGTTTCATGTTCAGGGTCCATAGGCTATTTTCCACTACTGTACTGTAATGTTAAGTAGTTGGCTATCTGGATAAGCTGGCAGGAAGAGGACAGCAGCACTGAGTAGATAACTAATCACACAGCACTAAATGACCCGCAGTCCACCCCTAGAGTCATGGTCACTCTGACCCAACAAGACTCACTGTTTATATGCAGTGTGTGTCTGTGTGTCAGACCGCACGTTACCCAACAGTAACCATAATCTTCCACCTACAATACAAGCCACTGACATTCTACCTTCCATCACAACAGTGATGTGAATACAGAGCACAGAGTAGACACACGGTCAGACTGTCTGAATTCTCTCCATTTAAAACCTCCTTATAGTCCCCATGCTAACTGGCCAATCTAGGAGACACATCCTCTGCTCCGTTACCCATTCTAAAGAGGCCACTCTCTCAGCACCCAACAGTTAGCAAGTCTCCCTGCAATGAAGCACTCACTGATCTTCTCCAGTATGTGTGCTGAACTGATGAGCTGAAATAAAGAAAATGGAGGAGAAATGGAGGAGAGAGGCATCTCAGGCTCCAAGCCTTGAGGGAGAATTTAAATTGTAATTTTATTCCTAACTGAACACAGAGGGAAGTGACTCAGAGACACAGTGGAAAGTGTGTGTGTGTGTGTGTGTGTGCGCGTACTTGCCCATCTGTGTGTACCCTCTATATGGATTCATATGTGTATTTGCTCAAGTGCATGGTGGGGTTGAAGCAATAATATACGTTATGAATAAATCATATGAGATGTGAGCCTAATAGCCTATGGTTCTGTCTGAGCATGTTGACAATCCTTCAACAATAATGTGTTGTCCGGAGTAAATTTGGAGCCACAGGCCTTGTACACAGGCAGACACTGTAAAGTCCACTGTTTCCTTACGGTGCGTAAGGAAACTTTATGAATAGCAGATTTTCCTACAGGATATTCTTCAGAAATGAATGGCGGGCCAGACAGAAACAGAATGCCACCAGATTGCCTATAGAGAGTGCTACAGACACAGGTATGTGTGTCCTGTGGTTACATAGAGCCAAGCTGCAAACACACTCCCAGAGAGTTCATAGACCTGTTAACACAGTGGCGTGATGTGACTGAACCCAGCTAGGCCTCTCCCCCCACCACCACACACACGCATATGCTCTCCCCCCATTTCTTTCTCTCACGCTGTCTCTCTACCTCCCGCCATGTTGACGCTGGAAATAGAACCTTTGGAGTTTGTCTAGTAAAGCGGAGGACATTATGAGCTGTAATGACAGGAAGAGTACAACACTGAGGTTTATGGCAACAAGAGAGAAGATCTATTGACTGTACACACACGTATCTCCTATAGACGGATAACTTCCATACTGACTTCTGAAAACCAGATTAGTGTGTATGAGTATGAGGTTAGTAAGTGTGTGGGTTTGATAGATTGTGCTCTAAAAATGTGTGCGCCCTCTAGCTATAATACCCCTGAGATATGTGAAGGTAACTTTGAGATGCAATACAATGTGAAAAAGACCATGCCCATCAAGAGCACTTCTCTCTGGTTTTTAATGTCCCAATACCTTGGCATCGGGTCTATAAACTGACATATAAAACAACAATTGACACAGCAATCTGTTCTTTCCAATTTAAGCTACAAAACAAAAAGCTCAATATATGGGGCATTGAACCGTCAGCCTTGCGCAGACTCTGCCACAAGGAAACACAATCAATAGAACATATTTTCTGGTACTGTCCATCATTGGCTCGCTTTTTGAGTCAGGTCCAGGAATGGTTGTTACGTCCTAATATCAGGGTTCAGATGGACCTGCAAACTGTACTGTTAGGGGATCTGAAAAACCACAATCAGTCAATGGGAAATATCATACTCTTGGGTAAAGTATTTATTTTTAAGGCAATATCGGAACAAATTTGACAAAGAGGGAGGTTCAGGACCCTCGTAAGACAACATAGTAAAATGGAGGGATGTATTGCAAAAGGAAATAGCAAAATGGCATTATACTGGGAAAGATGGGTTAATCTGTGGACATGGGAGGGTTGGAGTTAAGATCACAATGAATGGTGAATGGCTGCTGTGGGTGAAAACCCAGCACTTGAAGAGTAAATTAGGAATATACAGTACCAGTCAAAAGTTTGGACACACCTACTCATTCAAGGGTTTTTCTTTATTTGTATTATTTTCTACATTGTAGAATAATAGTGAAGACAACAAAACTATGAAATAACACATATGGAATCATGTAGTAACCCAAAATCAAATCAAAATATATTTAATATTTGAGATTCTTCAAATAGCCACCCTTTGCCTTGATGACAGCTTTGCACACTCTTGGCATTCTCTCAACCAGCTTTTCCAACAGTCTTGAAGGAGTTCACACATATGTGGAGCACTTGGTTGGCTGCTTTTCCTTCACTCTGCTGTCCATCTCATCCCAAACCATCTCAATTGGGTTGAGGTCGGGGGATTGTGGAGGCCAGGGCATCTGATGCAGCACTCCATCACTCTCCTTCTTGGTAAAATAGCCCTTACAACGCCTGGAGGTGTGTTGGGTCATTGTCCTGTTGAAAAACAAATGATAGTCCCACTAAGCCCAAACCAGATGGGATGGCGTATCGCTGCAGAATGCTGTGGTAGCCATGCTGGTTAAGTGTGCCTTGAATTCTAAATAGATCACAGACAGTGTCACCAGCAAAGCACCCCCACACCATAACACCTCCTCCTCCATGCTTTACGGTGGGAAATACACATGCGGAGATCATCCGTTCACCCACACCGCGTCACACAAAGACACGGCGGTTGGAACCAAAAATCTCCAATTTGGACTCCAGACCAAAGGACACATTTCCACCGGTCTAATGTCCATTGCTCGTGTTTCTTGGCCCAAGCAGGTCTCTTCTTCTTATTGGTGTCCTTTAGTAGTGGTTTCTTTGCAGCAATTTGACCATGAAGGCCTGATTCACACAGTCCCCTCTGAACAGTTGATGTTGAGATGTGTCTGTGACTTGAACTCTGTGAAGCATTTATTTGGGCTGCAATTTCTGAGGCACACCTGTTAATTGAAATGTATTCCAGGTGACTACCTCATGAAGCTGGTTGAGAGAATGCCAAGAGTGTGCAAAGCTGTCATCAAGGCAAAGGGTGGCTATTTGAAGAATCTCAAATATTAAATATATTTTAATTTTTTTGGCACATTTTTGGTTACTACATGATTACATATGTGTTATTTAATTGTTTTGATGTCTTCACTATTATTCTACAATGTAGAAAACAGTCAAAATAAAGAAAAACCATTGAATGAGTAGGTGTGTCCAAACTTTTGACTGGTAGTGTATGCATAATTATTTACAGGTACCGTAGATGTGAGCCAAAATAGCTGTAAGTAGCAGTAGAAGTATTGTTGTCCGTTAGTTTACTCCAATCAGGGTAGGGGTGGTAGGGTAGGAGGAAACAATTATTGAGAAAAATGTATAAAGGGGATTATAAATTATGCAAACAATTAAATTGATAGAGTCTTCAATCTATCTGCAATATTATAGCTGAGCTACATCCCCAAATAAAAATATATAAATAAAAACACTTATTTCCAACACAATCAATGTTTATGCTGCCTTATTTGCTTATATGGAAAAACAGAAAAATGTCCTACAGGGAATGACCAGTTAATCACAATGTAAACTACCTCACTGGTTAAGCTTGAGGTACCTAGTTCCTGCACACACACTCCCAGACATGGTGGTATGTTATCACAATGCTGCTGCTGAACCATTTCCCTGCATTAACAATGTACGCACGCATGCGCACACACAATGTACAAGCCAGCGCTGCACTGGAGACCTTCAATACTTCATGTACCCGCCAACCTGCAAAAGACGCTATGACGTTCACAGCACATATTTGCACGCACACATACAGTAGAGTCATACACACGCATGCGTGCAAGCACATAATGTACACACATAAACGCAAGCATACATTAGGCTAATGCAAACACACACACAAACACACACACTCGACCAAAGTCATTTGTGCTACATGTCGAGCCCCATAAACCTATGCAAGCCTCGTGCCATTTGCTTTTTCAACTAGAACAGGTCTTTTGAATGGTAAAATGTAATAAAATTCAATTGCATCAAATATAGCAAATTAAAGTGTGGGCTTCTATCAGCACGGACTCTAAGAGCTGTGGTATGGCTGTTGTTAAAGAGTGGCCTGAAGATATCACTGTACCAGCTCTACCCATCTCTCTCTCTCTTCCCCCCCCCCCCTCTCTCTCCAGATGGAGGAAGGCCAGGGACAGCCCCAATGGGGACTACTCTCTCTCTCTCTAATACAACAAACAGCCTTAATCCCATTCTGACTATATTCACTTTCACTTTACAAAGGAGGAAACAATCTGAGCCTGGGTTCTGAACGGCTCTTTTCAACACAGCAGCTTTTGAATAAAAGTGATATGGTGGCTGACTGGTCCTTGAGCAGACTAAAGCTGTGCAGAGGGAAGCTATTACGAGGAGGATGTTTTGGTCTACCTGCCTGACAGAGGGACTAATATTGGAGGATGAGTGTGAGTGGATATAGGGCCATTGAGAGCGTCCCTCCACTGTAATAAAAGTATGATGACAGTAGCACAGACACACACACGTGGGCGCAAAAAAGCTAGAACACACATGGTCACAAACGCACACACTGTATCCCCCATATGGTGCTTCCACAGCCCAGAATCCTTAATGACACAGTGTGGAAACTCTCCCTGCAGGGCAGCACAATCGTTCACACTGGGAGCTGAGTGTAAGACTGGGAGTGTGTCTAGCATCACTAGACGTCACATACTGACAGGGGAAAATTCCTATGGTGTGAGATTGAGAGGTACCGTATAACTATAAACAGTCCATTCATCCACTGCTCTAATGCAGATTTCCACTTAGAAGCTGTGTTCAAGAGCTAGGGGAGCTGACTGATGTGAGTGTGCACACACATACAT